ACAACAACAGTATATATCACAGTATATAGCACAACAACATACATCACATATATGACAATGGCGCCATAAGAATTGTCTGCCTGTATGACATCATACCATCTTGGTCTTTGTAAGCACATGAAGTCATGATGTTCATATTTCCCAGAGAATATCGCCATTGCTGAGTGACACATGACTGTAAATTTTCACATAGAGGACTAAAGAGGCAAATAACAGAGGCTATAAGCTGGATAGGGTTAGTCAGAGAGTCCCCCAAATAGGTGGGTTTTGAGTCAAGCCTTAATTAAAAATTGAGATTAGAGTGAGGCATTACCAATGAAGAAAGTGGAATAACCAAGAACTCCAGTGTGGAAAGAAACAGTCAGGTGTGGTCAGGATGGAAAAATACAGGCCAGTGGCTTGCAGAGGGCAATGAGATCATTTGGGGGAGTGAACAGGTAGCAAGGTATGCACGCGTTTGTACCTCAGTGACGGTGGCAATGACTTGGCAACATTCAGTTCCTTCTGACTTTAAAGCAGCCCCCTTTCAAATTCCTGTTTGCAACAAGCCCTGCTCTATCTTCCTGATCCCCTTTACCCTTCCGTGCCTTTTATCTTTCCATAGCACCTATCAAAGTCTAACACTACATAATTTCATTTATTTAGCTTATTATTTTTGTCTACCTCCAATAAAATATAGGGGCAAGGAATTTTTTCACTATTATATCCCAAGTGCTTCTAGATAGTGGATTCTGTCTTGTATATAGCAGGTTGTGAAATAAATATTAGGTGGATAAATTAATAAAAAATGACTTACCAACAGCAATATATAAGGCATTATATAAAAGTATGTCCAGGAGTCTCTACATCACAAAAATGTAGCCCAGTACATTTTTAGAACTCTAATCTAGGCTCCAGAGAAGGGCAGAGCTGTCAGAAAAGGAGCAGAAGACCATAAAAGCCACCATCTTGCTGATCATTAGCAACCGCATTGCTGCTATATGAATAAATCATAAAATTCCATTTTGTTAAGCCTGTGAACTTTTAGAGTTTATTTGTTATAGAAACTAGCTAATGCACATCTGAACAAGAAATTTTTTTTAGCAGGAAACGAATTCATATGCTGTGGGGGGATTTGCATTATTCATTCAACAAACATTCTAAGTTCTTGCTAGGGGCCAAGCATTCTGATAGGCATAGGGGATTCAAAAATGAGTAACAGAAAGTCATTTCCCTCCAGGAAACCCAAAGCTTACAATACCACGTTGTAAGTTCTGTTTTAGAGGAAAGGAAAAGGGGCTGTCTGAGCCCGGAGGAGAGAAAGCCTAATTCTGTCAAGCAGGGAAGAGAGGGATCAGGACACAGAATTTGACATTTAGACTCTGTTTTGAATTATGAGTATAATGAAGAATGAAAAAAAGAAAATATATCACTCTTGTGAAATGTTACTTGACAAATCTGATTCCAAATTATTTGGCCTTTTCTTTCTGCATAACTGTTCCTGGAGTTTCTTTTGTAGAATTCATATTCACTCCAGAGGTGAAATTGAACTTTAAATGATTCAAATAGGTTGGGATATAATATATTTCTACTTGCTAGTAGAGTTGTAACATAAGCCAATAAGAAAGATCAACATGCAAATGACTGCTTCTCATGATTGACATATTCCATAGTTAATCTGCCCCATAGAATGAAGGAATAAAGGCCTCTCTTAATCACCTAGGAAAGCACCAGTAAGTATTTCATGCTTCTTCACACTGGTGAGGTGATAGAGTACACTATTTCAGGGTTCTTAGCGTATTTGAAATCTGTGATGTGGAAAGACCTTTTGTTCATCTTCCAAAATGCCCGATGGCATTTGTTTTATTGAAGTTTACAGAAGCCTTTTTAATGAACCCATGTTTTCAAGTACTACTTACTCTTGACATTTATTAAGTAATTCCCTGTACTTACTTGCGTGTTCATGAACACAAATACTGAGCAATACACCAAATAAGGAAGAGGTTTCCACAAACACACCGCAGGATGGAGTTACCTCTGAAAGTGGCCCAGCAGACACCCCATGGAGTATGTGTACAGCCAGAATGACTCTATCTCATTATTTTGGTACTGATTAGGTCCTTTGTTAATACACCTTACCTAGATCTCCTTTTGTAAAATAAGAGAAATAGAACGAATTTAAAGGGAGAGCACAGGAAACACAAGCCTTGTGATCAGAAAATGAAGTCCTTTTGAGAGATCTTTTTCTCTCCCAAATATGTGCACATTTGCCATCTCATTTGGTTTTCACGCAACTTGAAAAAATGCTTTAGAAGAACCTGGAGGTACAAAAAAATTTCCCTAAGCACAATGAAAAGAAAAATTTCAACTCTCAGGCACATTCCATATTCGCAAATCTGAGCCTAGCATGATCACTGTCATCCACTGGTTTAAACCCAGGGCTGGGTGTGCTTGGGAGACAGTGGCTGCACACAGAGAGATGACTAAAGCATACACTTTCCCTCCCCAAGCTGGAGAGTACCAGAGAAAAACCCACACAGAGCAGCATGCTCTGTCTTATATCACTCTTTAATGACCTACAACTGGATGCAGATGGGGTGGCACATGCCTATAAGCCCAGAACTCGGGAGGCTGAGGTAAGACGGTTGTCATGAGTTTGAGGCCAGCCTGGGCTACACAGTGAGACCCTGTCTCAAACTGCTCCCCTCAAAACTTGTTTTTTTTTGTTGTTGTTTTGTTTTTCCGGTATCAGGGATTGAACTCACAACCTCAAGCTTGCCGGGCAGGTGCTGTGCCGCCGAGCTAAATCCCCAGCAAAAATCTTTTTTTTTTTT